AGCTGCTTCCTTGCATACACCAGACCTTTCATGTTCAGTGCAGGAATCCACTTTAGTGTTACTTCTAAAGCTGCTGCTTTTGCTCTCTCCTACGCCTCTCCATCCTTCCCTGTTTGAACACACCTTGGCGTCTCTGTCACTTGAAGAATGTATTACCATTTAAAAAAAACAAAAAAAACAACCTCATTCCATCACACAGGTCCTGTGGGAGCATCATCGTTGAGGTTTTGCTATTCTGAGTAGGTGGATTTGTGGAAGTTTCTGATGTCTCACAGAATAGCTTTGTTAGGAAGAGGGCAGGAGAGGAATAGATTTCTAGGCAAACCTGACTAGGTTGACCCACACATACAAGGTTGTAGGACAGGCTTTGCCACAAAGGCAAATGGCTGCATAGGGGGTGGTGGTGGAGGAGAGCTGCAAGAGGTTAGTGAGCAGACAGTGCCTTTCCTTCTTTGACAGCCATCTGGTCATTTATTTATTTTTTTTGCTTCTGCTTGAAATAGCAAATAGACAACAGTGTCTGTAAAATTGATTTTCAGATCATTTGGTGTTTTTTTTCCCCTGAACCCCCCCCTCCCCCTTTGCTACCAGATCTGTAACCTGCCAAGCAACCAGCTAAGGCAGCCTCCATATCAGATTGTCACATTGCAGAGGCAAGACATTGCTTCTAAAACGCATTAACTCCTTTCCTGGCTGCATCTGATGCTCAACAGACTGTTTCTGTAGTCTAGGGACCTTGCGTGCATTTTGTACATCTATTGTCCTGTTACTAACAGCAGTTTCTAACATTAATGATGGATTGATGGAAACCCAGAGCTGCTATGACTATATGCAGGTGATGAATTATTATTTCTTTATAAGTGTCTGCCTGTGTTGTCTAAGTACATAAATATTCACACTGTATCCATTAATATGAAAAGCGTCATTCATTTTGGATTTGTTAAAATCGGCATGGTTTTTTCTACCTAACAGCATAAAGACTTGAGGAAAATTACAATACTTTGCAATCTGTCATTGAGATATTTGTGGCTCAGTATTTGTGGTAGACAACATTATGAAGCATTGGTAGACCAGCAGGATGAGAAAAAAACTGCTATTTTTGTGAATGATTGTTTCCCAGGTGAGATAGCTGATTTTCTATTTATAACAGCTAGAGTTTAAAGAAGGAAAGCTGAATAGCATCTCACGCTTTGAATCAGCAGGATATGACTCATTTTTCTAAATGCTCTCAATATTCTGATTCATAATATATTCTGTGCTCTGGGTACTTCCTTTATACATATGGATTTGAAGCCCTAGAATGTGTTGGCAAGGTCATCTTTTTGAATGTATGTGGGCAGTTATTTCATTGCATTGTTGAAAAATGTCAAATATGAATAATGCTACAAAGTAAATCTATAAATAACCGGCTAAAGCCAGATCTGCCACTCTTCAGTTATGTGTGTAGAGGAAGCTTTTTTTTTTAAACAAAAATAATCTTCTGTAATTTGGTTATTATTTCATCATGAATGATGAATTTTATCATCATTTAGTTTTATAAAATAGGGAACAGTCTGACTAAGACCCAAATTCAAATCTCATATCAAAAGTGGACTTACAGAGTCTTACCTATGTTGTAGGATTATGACGAAAAAACTTAGCATAGTGCTAACAAGCTGTGTAAGTAATATTAATAGCCATCATGCTTTACAGTCTGTGGTTTTAAGAGAACGAGAAATTCTCCTCTTGCATTTCCATGATTCTTTCAGCTTGCACAAAACACAGATTTTCTTCCAGGGCAAGGTGGTTAGTTTAGGGGTAGAGTCCTCACTTTTATGCAGGTCGAATCCCAACAGCTGCTTTCGTATGGCTACTGCCTAACAGAATACACAGGTTTGGTCTAGGCAGACTAATAGTCTGACTTTGTGTAAAACAACAGCTTATATTCCTTTACTTAGGGTGGATGTTGGCTGCTTCTTGTCCTGTATGCCAAGGATGAGTATCTTGTAAATGTAAAGAGTAACGGGTCGTGTAGGGTATGGCTTTGGTGGTGGTGATGAGGAATATGCATGAGTGTTCTGAAGAATGCTGCCTTGCACGTGCTCATGGTGCAAATCCAAGACCAGCAAAGCTTATGGTATTAGTGCATTAGCTGCATTATTGCTACCCCGCCCCATTCTGCATATGAGATGTAGGGAAAATATACAGAAGAACACCCTAAGAGACCTCAAGCTAATACCATTTTTATACAGGGGAAGTCCACAATGCTTCTGGTAAGTTGCTGTCCTAGGACTGTGTTCTTGAGGCAACTGTGTGCATTCTATTACATACAGTATTTTCTGTTTCCTGAGAATCCTGGAGCTGAATCTGTACTTCTGGCATAAATCAGTACAGGTATAGGTTTGCATACAATTTGAGTATATCTCATTAATGATACTGGATCTAATGTAGGCCTTCTGACGTCAGTAGATTTGTCAGTGTGGTGGTTTACTGGCAAGGACATTTCCCATACAGATGGAACTAGACAGTGCAGTGTGCACACTAGGGAATGTACACTGATATAACAGTAACTTGGTAAGATCCATACCCCAAAGCTATTTGTTTAGGAAATGTTGCTATAAAGAAATCAATGTATTTATTTAAAGGTGGGAATTACACAAGATTTTTGCTTCAGAAAGGTGTGCATCCAACACCACCTTATAGCATGGCTACTTCAATTAATGCTATTCATACAGGTAAACACATAGATCTCAGGAGTGAGAAACAGTAACATCCTAACCCTCTTCCTTTGCCTCCATTTCACATATATTGCAGTTATAAACTCCTGCAGTTTCTTATACTGTCTATACTTGGTATCAAAGTTTCTTGTTGAATGTACACTTGTGCAGACATTTCTCACATTCATGCTTTATTTTTAGATGCATAGTTAAGCATTGCAATGGGTGAAGTGGTCTTGACAGGGAAAAAAAGTACATTACAGGATTCAAAAATTAACCAGAGAGACATTCCTCATTCTTAGAATGTATTTGAGGTTTCTTCCTCTCCATCCTTTCATTTTCCTTTCGGAAGGTAGTGCTCATATCAAGACCCTCCTTCTTCCACCCCAGGCCTGCTAGAAAAACTGAGCTACAGTTCCTAGAATTTCTACACAGCTGCCAGCTCAAGGCTTCTGAGAGGTATGGAAGGTGAAACTGCGCAAACACTTGATTGTGCATTCATAGATCTCACCTCTCCTTCAAGTCATATTTTTGATGCGTGCAATGGGCTTCAGTGGATGGTGGTGGGATCAGTAAAGATCTTGTTCAAGTGGAAGTTCATTGCACTAGTCCTGCCTAGCTGTTGGGTACAAGTCCTTCGTTTGATCCTCCTGGAGGGTGAAATCCAGTTGTTAATTCCAACTAGAGCAGATCCATCAAGTAAATGTGACTTTTAGAAATATTTGCCTACTAATATCCCAGTGATTCTTGCGTCTCCTGTAGCTGGGAACCTGGGTCTAACAATTCCATGTACCCCTGTCTGTGGAGAAATTGATTTTGTAAGCTTTCCTTCTGCTGTGGTAGGCACAATTAGAACATTGCTGTGGTAGGCATGGACATATTTTGGTCTGAGGTACTTACAGAATAGTGTCTTTGACTTGCCCAGGCCCTGAAGTATGTGTCCTCTTTTTAAAAAGAGACCAGTCGAGACTGTTCCTCCTTTAAGGAATGAAATTGACTAGTGTAGGAATGGTTTACAATCAGATCTGGTTGCCTTTGCCTTTTAATTCTCTGGATTTGGGTGCAATTGGAAAAACAAGGAACATGGGCTCTCCATTCTTTAGTCATGCTTCTCCTTTCCTGTGGTTGCAAAATTATGACTTTTTGGTGGTACTCCATGTCCAATATAGCATATAATAAAGGACAATAAGTTTTATTCCTTACAGGAGATTATCATGGACATACAGTCTCTGTAGACAGATTTTGCTCATTGCAATCATATCACCATAGCCATGATCAGAACCTAAACTTTCTCCAGGTCCATTTCTTTGGAGAGAGGAGGTTTTCCTTCCTTCCTTCCTTCCTTCCTTCCTTCCTTCCTTCCTTCCTTCCTTCCTTCCTTCCTTCCTTCCATTTCCCACTTGGCTGATTTTTTAGTTGGTGCTAATGAAAGCTTTGTTCCTGAGGCTGATATTAGCTCGTATTGGGGAAAGGGGAATTT